GAATTTTTTTTCATTTTCTATGAACAATGTTTTAGACAGATAATCCGTGGGAAATGTCTGTCTGAAACATCATAATTTTCTCACGAAAAAAATCTATGGGTAACAACCATCTAAAATTTCAGACGGAAAAAATTCATGGGTAATATCCATCAGAATCATTTATGTTTCAGATGGACACATATTCGTCAGAAAAATTCGTCGGTAATGTCATTTTTCAGACAGATATTTATCTGTGAGAAAAAGTTCATCGATAATAAGTGTTTTTTTTGTAGTGAAAACACGGTATGGTCACCCTCATCACCATCTTGGCTATCCTCATCATCTTGGATAGTGATGTCAAGGTCTTCAGGCGCAATAGATCGGGAAGGGGCCATCTCATCGGGTTCGACATCTTCAGGCATCTTGTTATACTCCATATACACCCCCTTGTAAAAATCCATGTTTACTTCAAAAGTGAAACCCGGGGGACATTGCAAAAATACTGAGCCTATGAATAATTTTATAAAATTTATTTAATAGTAACAAATATGAATTTTATTTATAGTATAATTTATAAATTATAAATTATTATTTTTGAAAATTATAATTAAATCAAATAAACATGTATTTTATAAATTTTATTTAATAATAGTAAATAAGTGTGAAATTTTAGTCCATATTTAAGATATATATTATTACTTTCATATAATATCAATGAACTTTAATAGCTTAGTGCTATAATATTATTATTGGAGTTAAGGGATTAAGAATTCAAGTCTCATTTTTTACATTTTGACGATTTTTTTTTATCTTATTTAAAATATTTTATCTTTATATTTTTTTGCAAAAGTGTCATTCCTAACAACTTTAAACATTTAGATAAATTTTCATCTTGTTTTAAAAATTTTATGTTATCATTTTTCCTAATAACCTTAAACATGTTGACATAACATTACACCTTTTCTTAGCGACTACTGATATTGTTGACATAAAGTAGTACATTTCCCAACAACACATAATTTTCGCAACAATATTAATTTTGTTAACAAAAAGAAAATCCTATTGTAACAAAATTTTTATGTCATTGCCAAATTCCTGTCTTTACCAACAACTCATTTTTTATTGTAAAAAAGTCGTTGCGAATAACCTATTTTCATGTAGTGGGTATTCGACCAGAAGGAAAGCTGAATACTCGTCACCACCAAAGCCACGTCACCCTAGGCCAAGCAGCCACCCAGCCACGAAAGTCAAAGGTCGAGTACCAGTTCAGCTAATGCATAACCCGAAAGGGTATTCGGCCATAAGACACAAGTGGAAAAAAAGCTTTTAAAATCGGTTATTTTTAACTTTTAAAATCGGTTCTCTAACCGATTTTAAAAATTAGACTTTTAAAATCGGTTTAACCGATTTTAAAAGTTAACTTTTAAGATCGATTGTTTTATAACCGATCTTAAAAGTCTTGGCTTTGTAAAAATTAAAACTGGAACGGGACGTTCCAGGTTGTTAAAATGGCCTAAAAATGTCGTTTGGAACGGGCTGTTCCATAATAGTTTGTCATGAGTTCAAACCAATCCAAAACGGTCTGTTCTCCTTACAGAACGGCCCGTTCTCCTTGCAGAATAAACCAACGACGAAACTAGAGACACGAGAAGAGCGTGATAATGTTACCTTGAGAATGAGAAGCTGAAGACTTTAGATGAGAGCGCGAGAGAGTAAAAAAAGGAATGGAGGGAAAGATCAAAGAGAATGAGAATGGAAGGAAAGATAAAAGGTTTCTGACGGTACTTTTAAAATCGGTTATTTAAGAATCGATTTTGTATGTAGTATACAAAATCGGTTCTTAAATAACCGATTTTAAAAGTAACACTTTTAAAATCGGTCATAAAATAACCGATCTTAAAAGTACTTTAAAGATCGATTAAAATTTAACCGATCTTAAAAGTGTTCACATTATTTACAAAATTGACACCGCGTCACTTTTAAGATCGCTCACCTTGTAACCGATCTTAAAACTCCGATTTTAAATCCAATTTTTGCACTAGTGAGATAAGCCGAATACCCCGTATTATTGAAGCCGCATTATGCTAATTTTGGTTAGATAATAGAGGTCCACGTCAGCCTAGATTAAGGTATGAAACTCAAGTTATTAATCTCTTAATCAAAAAGGCGCATCAGGCCCAAATAAGTCACTATAAATACAATATTGATGAGACAAAAAAATGGGTATAATTATTTAATAGTAAAATATTTATTGCTCTGTACCGAGTACTGACTTGAGCGTCGAAATGCCTTTGCAGGTACTCTCTCCCCCTTTCGGGACAAAGATTCAGGAAGTTATCACCTCAGCTTGGAAGAAGATCAAGTGTCAGAAAGCATCAACGTAAGAGTGTTTCCTAATAAAAACAAAACCCAAAATAGATCACACAATAAAATAGACTTAAAGGAACATGTATATTAGATAACATTCAACCAATTTTCATAAAACAAAATTACACCAAATAATAGTAGTCCAAATAAGTGAAAATTCTAACAAATAACTTATAATTTGATTATGTCCATAATCATAAACCCTATTCATATCATCTCTCTTTACTATGTGAAACATGTGAATATCTCAAACTTGAAATAACAATGACTTCTAATGTGATACTCCTTCTATACTTATATATAAACATAAAATATTAATTTTTTTTACTAAAATATAAACAAATTTCAACCAAGTCATCTTTATTTAATTCTTTTATTAAAAAAAATAACCTTAAGATAATAAATAAAAATACTATCTACAACAAATGTGAATAAGGATATTTAAAAAAATATGATATATTTTTATATGAAATCATGAAAATTAAATAAATTCAACTATTTTCTTAATTCGTGTAAAATTCTATTTTCTTTCTTCCCTTTAATTACTCTTTTAGACTTTTATTCCTATAGTTTAAAAAAAAATACTTCCTCTATTCTTTATTATAAAGAGAAAAATGATTTTACGTATATGAGTAAAATTAGTTATTTATATTAAATTTTATTAATATTATAATTTTATTTTTAAATTATCCTTGTTATACATATCAAAATAAAATAATACTATTGAAAGGTCACGCATTAAAAAAATATTTTTAAAAAATTATCAGTTAAAATTTACTTGTATTTAAAAAAATAATTTTTTTGTGCTTATAATAAATAAGACATGGGGTACATTTTAATGTCTCCAGTTAATTTGTTTTAGTCTTTATACATACTATTTTAGTTTTATATTATTATTTTTCCCTTCTTGTAGTTTTCTCGGTAGTTTCACTATCCGTATAATATTCTAGAATAGTGAAAATATATTTTTCATAACATTAAATTTAATGTTAAGATTTTTGGAGGGGTGAAAGAAAAGGAAGTTTTGGAAGAAAAAATGTGTCTAGTTTGATAAAAACTCGCGAAGAAGCTACACGTATTTACAATGTTGTTACCTACCAATTCTATGATTTGGGTGCATGTGAAAAAGTGAAAAAAGTGAAAAAAATAAGAGAATAATATAAACATCGAGAAAACTAAAACTACCTACTGAAATAGGTATTGAATTAAAGGAAGACAAGATGCTGCATGTAAAAATTGTAAAAGAGAAGAAAGGAGGTGTGTGAAAAAAAATAGTAAATTAAAAGTTAAAGATATAAAATTAAAAATTTTAAAAATAAAAAAAATTATAGATATTTTAAGATTTTTTTTAAAAAAAATATAAAGGAGGTGTACTTATAAAAAAAAAAAGAGTGTATATATCATTAGCCTTAACAATTTCCTCAAGGATGATGATAAACACACCTCCATTTTTTTATTATAAATACACTCCCTTTTTTTAAAAAAAGATATATTAAATCTCTAAATTACCCTTAATATTTTTCGGAACTTATAATTTTTAGATTTGTACCTCTCTTGTTCTTTCTTTTCCTCGCACCTCCCTTCTTCTTTCTTTTCCGGGCACCTCCCTTTTTCTTTCTTTTTCACCCCTTTCTTCTTCTCTTCTTCATCACTTTTTTCTTCGGTCTCCATCTTTTACCCTTTTCAATTTTTGCAATATCCTCTTCCTTTTTTGTTTTGTTCCGGAAAGTACTTTCTGGAATAGTAAAGTTTTTGTTCCGAAAAGTACTTTCCGAAATAATAAAGTTTTTGTTCTAGAAAATACTTTGCATAATAGTAAATTCTTATTCTGGAAATGTTTTATTACATAATTCCGAAAAGTACTTTCCATAATACTAAAGTTACTGTTCCAGAAAGTTCTTTCCAGAATTATATAAGAAACACACTTCCAAAAAATGCTTTCTAGATCAATAATTTTACTATTTCGGAAAGTACTTTCCGGAATGTTAAAATTAACATTTCGAATCTTATTTTCTAGAAGTATGACAAATTTAACTTACGTATTTCTTTATTTCCGTCGTCCACCACCATCTTCTACGATCAAAGTAGGTTAATTATATATTCCTGTTGTCCATAAATAATGTTAAATAAGTTAAAAAAATTATAAATATAGAATGTAATTTAATATATTAATTTGTACCCTGTATTGAATGTAGAGAATAATGAATATTGAATGAAAAATTAGAGTTTAAGAAAGAATAGAGTAGAAAGTGAAAAATAGGATTTAAAAGATAAAAATATAAAATATGATTATGTTGATTATAAAAGAAGAAAAATAAAGAATGAAAAATGAAAAAGAATAAAATCATTAAAGAATGACTAGAGTGATGAAAAAGGAAAATAAAACAAAGAAGAAAAAAAGAAGAAAAAGAATGATAAAATAAGGGGGTGAATAAAAAATAAGTTTAAAAATAAAACTTAAAATAAAAATTTAGTTAAAAGATATTTTAAGAATTTTATTTAAAAAAGAATTAAAAATATATTTATAAAAGATTGAAGGTGTATATGTCATCAGCCCTAAAACAGACAATCCAATTCCCTTGGGCCGCATGGCGTGGTCCAAGGTCCAAGCCCAAACATGGAAACACTTGAACCAACATTCAAGTGCTACACGCAGAGACCTTGTTCAGAAGACACAAAATGTATCGCGTTCTCCACCGCGCCCTGTGCACCGCCACAGAGCCCGCCACCGGCAGCATCAAGTCAATTTCGCAGGATCTCTACAAAGAATCCAAGTTGAAAAGCCTGGTCGACAAGTTCAAGAAAGCCTCCGACAACGACCGCTTCCGGAAGAAAACCGGCATCTACGAGGACACCGTGCGCCGCCTCGCCGGCGCCAAGCGCTTCCGGTGGGTCCGCGACATCCTCGAACACCAGAAGCAGTACTCCGACATCTCCAACGAGGGTTTCTCCGCGCGCCTCATCACCCTTTACGGCAAATCCGGCATGTCCAAACACGCGCGCAAGCTGTTCGACGAAATGCCCCAACATAACTGCCACCGCACCGCCCTCTCTCTCAATGCCCTCTTGGCCGCGTACCTCCACTCCAGGAAATACGACGTCGTAGAAACCCTCTTCAGGGACCTGTCCGCCCAGCTTTCCATCGAACCCGATTTGGTCACTTACAACACTCTCATCAAATCTTTTTGCGAAATGGGTGCCTTCGATTCTGCCTTGGAGGCTTTCAAGGAGATGGAGGGTAAGGGTTTGAAGCCTGATTTCATCACGTTCAACACTTTGTTTGATGGGTTGTACTCAAAAGGTCGTTTTGATGAGGGTGAGAAGCTCTGGGGGCAAATGGGTGGTTACAATGTTGTTCCTGATGTGAGGAGTTACTGTTCCAAGCTTGTGGGGTTGGCTGGGGAGAAGAAAGCTGGTGAAGCTGTTGAGGTTTTGAAGGAAATGGAGAAGGCGGGTCTGAAGCCTGACGTTTTCTGCGTCAATGCTGTGATCAGAGGTTTTGTGAATGAGGGTAATTTGGATGAGGCTAAGAAGTGGTTTGGTGAGATTGCGAACTTTGGTTATGACCCTCATAAGACCACTTACGCCACCCTTGTTCCGTTCCTGTGTGAGAAGGGTGATTTGAAGACGGCCATTGAGATGTGCAAGGAGATTTTCAATAACCGGTGCCGTGTTGACGCGTCGCTGCTGCAGGTTGTGGTGGATAAACTGGTGAGTGAGAACATGGTTTCAGAGGCCAAGGAGATTGTGGAGCTAGGGAAAACCAATAGGTATTGTCGCTATAAGCTAAATTTGCCGGGAGAAGAGTAGAGTTATGTTAGCACTTAGTTTCACTTTATTATTGTTCTTGCATTTTAAATGGTTTTGTGATAATGGTGATTGGAAATTGCCAAGAGTGAAATTTGTTTGGCATTGTGAGATTACTGACTGGTTGCTTCAACATGGCTTATGCAGTCTGATTGCACTGGTTCTATGGGTTGGTTTGATATCAGCCCTTAAATGTAGTCTCGGTTGAGATGAACTAACATAAAAACACTGTTTTTCCTAATTTACTCTTTGTTTGCTCTCTTACAGCTTTTCAATTATTTCATTATTTCGAAAAAGTGATGAATTTTTTATGAACACTATTTAATCTCCCTCTTACTGCCTCTCTTTTTTTTAACAATAATCATTGTATCTAGTTGGCTCCGAGTTATGAATGTGATAAGTGTGGAGACATATGGTATACATATTGTTGTATCTTGATGTTAATTGTAAAAGTATATGTTTTATTGTTTATTGGTGTGTGACTATTCAACCATAACTTGTAGCGGTAGCTTGGGTAAGATGTTTCTCGCATTCCCTTTCTTTTATTGTTTGTTTTGTTGTATACTTGTTGGTGAAATTAATTATAAAAATGATAATGTTGGAGATGAGGTTTAGACTTTGCATCAAAAGTATTTTGATAAGATTGTTTGTTTTGTTGTATACTTGTTGGTGAAATTAATTATAAAAATGATAATGTTGGAGATGAGGTTTAGACTTTGCATCAAAAGTATTTTGATAAGATGTGACATCAAGATAATAGATAGGAATTATATCTTTGTGATGGTTATTTTATATTAGGACTTACCTTCTGTTAGTTTAAATTAGTTTCAATATCAAACTTTCATTTCCTTGTAATTGCTTTAAACTTAGTAACTTAGTTTTTCTTATTGATGAGTATTGATTTGTAATGTGATGCTTCTACTTAAGAGTAGGTTTATTTTTATTTAGTAAAATTATTTGAACAATCTCTTTTGAGAATTATTGAAGTGTGGTGTAAAGAGTGTCAGATAACTCAATAAGAACTTAAATGACAACATTTTGTTTCATTTTTTGACCTGCCAATTTGAATTAGGAATATGAATAAATGACTAATTTCCTTTCATCAGTTTATTTTTTATAAATAAAACTATTTATTTAGACAATTACACTTTTTTAACTCAAGGGCTAAAACAATTAGGATTGAACTAGTAGTGAGAATTTGAGGTAGAATACACAGAGTCTTAAATTTGAACCTTAGTGTTATCATTGTAATTTCGATGAATAAAAAATAATTCAAGTGGTTCAAAAAAAATTCCTATTTTGCTATTATTTTGAAGATTAAATTAATTGTTTAGTCTTTATAATGTATACCTATTTCAGTATTAGTCTTTTTTAAAAATATTTTTTATTTTTATTTCTATTATATGTTTTTTCAGTTTTCATAAAATTTGAAAACGCTTTATATAAATATCTATTATATAGAAATATATTCATTTTAGCTCTTGTTAGGCCTTTTTTTCTAATATATGCTAATCATGTCATTATTGAACAGGTACACAATAAAATTGAAAAAGAAAATTAAAGGTTTAAATATTTTTTTACTCTTTATAAAATGAATTAATTTTGATTTTTTTCAATGAAAATATTTATTATTATTATTTTTCATCCTTTTAACATTTATAAACATGACATAAAAAAATATTTATAAACATTATTTTTTATTCTTGAAAAAATTATCAAGTTTTGGTTTTAGTCGAAGTAAAATAATATTTTTTTAACTTTCATTCTTCTAACATTTAAATAATTATTTTTAGTACCTAATGAGATATATAGATAAATAATATTTATTTTTATATGTTTTTAAAAATTTAGTAGTTATTATGCATTGACATAACATCGTTATACAATTATAAATAACATCTAGGATAATTTTTAATAATAGTATGTACTGAAAACATTAATTTTAAATTTTAAAAAAATAAAAAATAAAAAATTATTTTATAGGGATCAATCAAGTAGAGAATACATGTAGTATAAAAAAAATTAAAATTTATTCATATTATAAAAACTAAAAATATATTAGATTCAAAATTTAATAATATCAAAATTGATGAGAATTTTTGTTTAGAAATTAAAATCAAAAGAGGTACATTATAAAGACTATAAAATTAATTAATTTAATCAAATTTTCTAATTAATTTGAATTTGTTATTTTTTTTAAAAACAAAGTTAGAAGCTCCGATGCATATTTTCAATGATGTACGAAAATATCAGCATCTTTTGTTTGTAAGAGCACCTCCGGCGCGAGGTGCTTGTAGGGATGGCAACGGGACGGGGCGGGTACGGGTTTCATGATACCCGTCCTCGTCCCCGTAAGTTAAACTCATTCCCATCCCCGTCCCCATACCTGTCGGGTATAGATTTTCATTCCCATCCTCATCTCCGTCAGGTATCGAGTATACCCGTACCTGTATCCGTATCCGTCAATTTTTTTTATTTTTTATTTTTTGTAAAAAAATGATATTTTAAATTATTTTTTTTATTATATTATAATTATAATTAGGTTATTTCTTTATCTCATATTATAATAAATAATCACACATAAAAAATATTAAATTTTTTTAATATAATTAAATTGAAAGTGAATATTAAATTAAAAATGAGAACGGGAACGGGTACGAGTACGGGTACGGGGCGGGTAAGTACATACCCGTACCCGTACCCGTACCCGATTTAATATATCGGGTTTTACCCGTACCCGTACCCGTACCAGGTCAAACCGGGTATTTCCCGTCAAAGTCGGGACGGGTTCGGGTATAACTCGCAGGTACGGGTATATTTGCCATCCCTAGGTGCTTGTTGCGTGTCTTAGTTGTAAGCAACGGTGCTTACAAGAAATTCCTGTTGGAGTAAATCTACGTGGCAGCAAGGGTTCCTAAATTATTCTCTTTGTTGCTTGCAGAAGCAACGGTTCTTAACCCTGTAAAATTGAAAATGAAGAGATTTGATTGGATGAGGGTCATCCAAGGTGGAACAGTTTTGCAATCAAAAAAATTGATAAAACTTCCTTACCTGTTATTGCTCTTGGTCGACTCCCTCCGGTGGCCATGTTCTCAGAGCGCATGCATGTCTGGAAACCTTCATCGCGCGAAACCCCCTGACCGGAACCCCTCTGCCGCGCGAAAATCGCGACCAACCCCGTCAGCCGCGCGTAGAAACCCCCCACCGAACCCCCCAGTTGCGCGTGTGCAACCCCTGACCAACCCCGTCAGCCACGAGCAAAACCTCCGACTGGACCCCTTAGCCGCACACGGAACCCCCTGACCGACCGGACCCCCAGCCGCGTGCGCGGAATCTCCCAACCGAACCCCCGCAGTCGCGCGCGCGGTCCCCCCGACCAGCCCCCAGCCACCAGCCACGACCAACACCCACCAGCAACTAGCCACCAGCCACCAATCACAAGAGAGAATGAGAGACGAGAGAGATTAAGAGAAAGAAAAAAGAGAGCTTGAAAGAGAAAGAGGGAACGAGAGAGACGTTTATTTTTTATTTTTATATTTTATTTTATTTTTTTATTTTTTACATATATTTTCTATTTTTATTTTTTATATTTTATAATAAAAAATACATTTCGTAAAATTTTATTAAAAAATAATTAAATCAAACACATTTTCAGTATTTCTATTTTCTAAATAGAAAACAAGAACTCAAATTAAACAAGTTTTTTAAATCTAAAAATTTAAAAATAAAAATTATTTTTAAAGATAAAAATAGAAAATATTTTTTCAAATAAAATAGTCTTTTAATTTTTCATTGTAGAATATACTAAACTACTTCTTTTTATTATTGTGATTTTTTTATTATGTAATTTCTTTTATTTATTATTCATATTTATATATTATTCATAATAATTAATTTTTAAAAAATTTATAATAAAGTATAATATAAGGTGTCAAAAAGTGTAGTATGAGTTATAAAAAAATAAGAGTGCTTATAAGAAATTTTCATTGAAACAAAAATTATAAAAATATAATATAAATTACTTAAAAATAATGTGACATAATAAAACCCATTTAAAATAGTTAAGATTTGCTTATAAGGAATTCTTTCCTATCCTCGATGCTCTAACACTTTTATCAGTTTTATGCGAAAGAAAAACCTCATCTATCTTTTTCCTAAACGAGTCATGTCAAACACTTCCATCATGAAATCTTTAAACTTTAACATCAAATCATCACCGACACTAATAAAAGGAAAATGCTGTATCTTTCGGAGACCCAAAAATTATCTGAATGATTAAAAAATTATTATTTTTTAATAAATTTATTATAAAATAATTATTTTATAATAAAATTATTAAAATAATAATTTTTTAATCATTCAAATGAATTTTTGGCTTTCTTTTTCGGAGGTGTAGCAATCCTCTTGATAAAATAGTGTCCGAAATTGGAAGCCGAAAATTCATTCCATCGATTAAAAAATTATTATTATTTAATAAATTTATTATAAAATCATAAAATTATTATTTTATAATAAATTTATTAAAAAATAATATTTTTTTAATCATTCACACAAATTTTTTACTTCTGTTTTCGGAGGATACAGCATTTTCTAAAATGAAATTATTGTCAACATAAAAATTCACTATTAATGTTTTCCCTCCATTTTTTTTATCATATAAACTACAGTGCAAAACACATCATTGTAAAGAGTTAAACATTCCAAATAAATTAGCACCCTTAGACTTACTAATAAACAGATTATATTTACTAATGCAATTCTGAAATCCTCCTTCATGAATAAAAGAGAGCATTAATGAGACTAAACCAAGTTCGAGGAGCTTACTTTAGTTCATATATAGAGCTGCTGCAAGTTTTAAACCTTTGCCCTCCACCCTTTTGAGAAAGAAAGAAAAAACTTTTCCTTTTCGGTAGTTTTTTAAATTTCTTTCTACACCCAAAAATACTTGTATACAATATTATATTGTTTACGGTGAAATTCGTTCGTGGACTCTTTATATTCGAACTAGCACGTAAATGGTTTCAATTTAGGCTTCTGATTTAAGAACAGGAAATGGAGTGGACAATTTTAGTAATTACTTGTTTCTAATGATTCTTCAACAATTAACAAGCAATAATTTCCAGACATATAAATGCTAAGATGAACAGAATGGATAATTAAAATATTTGCAATACAAATCATGGCTCAACTTGCATACTGTTCCAGAATTACAATGCCAAAATGATATAATTTCATGGATTACAAGAGATAAATTAAAAGA